TTAAAATATGTCACCCACTTGTCTGCCGTAATTGAGATGTTTTCATTACAATTGCTCAGTTTTGTAACCTGTAATAATAATTCTATTGTGATTGAGCAGTCAGTTGTTATTTACCTTGTGTTTTATAACTTGTAATAATAATTCTATTGTGATTTAGCTTCTCATATTAATTCTATTGTTATTCAGCGGACAGTTGCCATTTACCTAGTGTTTTGTAACTTGTGATGTTAATTCTATAGTTATTTAGCAGGTAGTTACCATTTACCTAGTGTTTTATAACTTGTAATAATAATTCTATTGTTATTTAACAGACAGTTGCCATTGATCTTGTGTTTTGTAATTTGTGATGTTAATTCTGTTGTAACTGAGCAGTCAGTTGCCATTTTCTAGTGTTTTATAACTTGTAATAATAATTCTATTGTTATTTAACAGGCAGTTGCCATTAATCTTGTGTTTTGAAACTGTTGTAACTGAGCAGTCAGTTGCCATTTCCCTAGTGTTTTATAACTTGTAATAATAATTCTATTGTTATTTAACAGACAGTTGCCATTGATCTTGTGTTTTGTAATTTGTGATGTTAATTCTGTTGTAACTGAGCAGTCAGTTGCCATTTTTCTAGTGTTTTATAACTTGTAATAATAATTCTATTGTTATTTAACAGGCAGTTGCCCTTAACTTCTAATGTTAATTTGATATATGTTTTATACCAGCATAGTCTGCACCAACTTGTAGCTGTAAATGGTTCTATATATCAGTTGCAGTTGTTTAATAGATGTAATAATTTTGACAGGACCATGTACCAAGTATGTCGGTGACTGGGGTAAATAACGAATTCTGCTCCAACGGCGAATTATGTCTTGATCGATACACTAGTGTGGACCGTTACGGTCGTATCCCAAATACGTGAATCGATGCTCACAACGTGAATCACTTGACTGTCCGGTCTCGATTATGTACCGACCGTAGTGTTGTTGTTGGCATAATGCTGGGTGCGGTGGTAAGCAACAAACAAGCAAAGAAAATAATAAATAATTATAAGGACGAGTAACACCAATAATGAAGTTAATGTAATCAACCCAGATTGGAATCGAACCCGAGTCTTTGACTGCCCTCCAAACAATGTAACATCCTACCTGGGTTTTTTCTTTGTCCAGATTTCCTTATTCAGTTGTTAGCATTCCTGTATTTCTATATTCCTTAAATTTGAATCCAAACATAAGACAACGCGGCAATCCACGCCCACGGTCATTAGGGTATGGTAACATGTATGGCAGCATCTTCAGAGTGGCCAGAGTTTGACCATAGACTGTCCCGGCAAAGGGTAATATATGTCTGATCTGCTGAGTCATCGAAACTGTGGGAGCATTGATCAATGCAAGTTACAATGAAACCATGATCTGAATAGTATAAACATTTATGGAGTCCATTTTTGCCTTGTCATGGTGTTCTATTCCACGGGGTTATGGCAACCAAGACTTTGAACGATGAGACTGCAACTTTCTGCGATTATCTGAAAGTATCACGGAAATACGGCATTTCGATTGGTTTAGCGTGTTTACAGTGACGGGCATACCCTAGATCTACAGCTAGAATTGTCATTTTAGCCCTTCGGAGACCTTTACACTGGATGTGAATGCTTCGTGATTTGTGTTCGAGATATTGGACGATTATTGTTTCAGGAAATATTCCAAGGACGGACTTCACACATTGCACCAATGTGTGGAACACAACACGTGTAACGAGCGAATGCTGTAACAAATAGGCTTCTCCGTCGCTATCTACACGTGTACTCTGGAGGACAACTGTGTACATGTATAATATTCTTGTGTGTGTTTTTTTTAACAGTTCAATGAAATAGTTTCGTTGAGGCACGTGCTACTGTTATGAAAAAATAACATTTTGTTATCAATTGATTAATAGGTTTCACGTTTTGCAAACGATGGATGAGTCGGCGAATTATATTCGCAGCGTCATTGCTGCTTGCGATTGTTCTCGTTATCGTCAAACGTGCGCACGGATATATATGTCTGTATTTTGGAGCTAACATAATGACATACCCCGCCATAGTTTCACGCGGATGCCTCGTGGAACATATATCACACCAACCAATCACACGCTGAAGAGCACACGAAATGGCTAGTGCGCATGCGTCAAGGCAGAGGTGTTGGGTCTTGCGCCGACGGAAGACGTGGGGTCGCATGTGAGAGGAAATAAATACTCATACCTGGTGCGTCTGTAGCAAAAAGAAAGTGACCACATAATGCCGTTACTTACCGTTTCCTCACAAAACTATCCGACCTACGGCGTCGTAACATTGGTTCTTCATATTTTCGGTTCTCTTAACCGACTGCCCGAATCATCCCATCGGTCGCACACCAAACAAATGGCGGACGCAATAGCTTCTGTTCTGACGGGACTTCAAATGGCTAAAAATTCGCGAATAAAGAAAAACAAGATACTCGCAGCACAGTTTCTGAGGCAAATATTCAACGTGGAAAGATGCCAGATCTCCAATGGATGTGAGAACACAACACGGTCTCGGCAAAGTGAACAGAAATGTAGAAACTGCAAAGGCTGGTGGGCCGAGCACAAATGTTTTGGGATTTTTTGTTGTTGTTTTGGGGGTTTTTTTTGTTTGTTTGTTTTTTGGGGGGTGTTGTTTTATGGTTTTTGGGTGTTTTTTTATTTAGGACTGCTCTGCTATAAACACGATCAGGTTCTTGGTCTTAGGTGACGATTAGAATTTCGCGGATTATACCAGTTTTTTTCGCTTTGATATCAAGCCGGAATTCAGAGCTTTGTGTTCACAAGCATACTGTTCAACGCCAGGATTGCTGTTCGGTGAGGACGCGGTGATAAGGGTGTAGGGTTTGTGTGTCGCGTAGGAAAGGAAATCTGTAAGATTCCAGGAATAAAACCAAGTGCTCAGTTTCGACCATATGGATACTCTCTCCGTAGCAGAGGGAGAGTTCACATTCAAATATCTTCATGAGATGGATAATCACGTGTGTCTGCAAACCCCTATTTTCAGGGTACAGAGAATCGGATACAGGATACCTGATCAGAGAAAGTGGAAGGATATGTACCCGTCCCTCTCCCACTTATTCAAATTTGTGTCTGCAAACCCAGGGTACAGGGAATCGGATGCAGGATACCTGATCAGAGAAATGGGAAGGATATGTACCCGTCCCTCCGCCACGTATTCAAACGTGTGTCTGCAAACCCAGGGTACAGAGACTTAGATACAGGATACCTGATCAGAGAAAGTGGAAGGATATGTACCCGTCCCTCTCCCACTTATTCAAATGTGTGTCTGCAAACCCAGGGTACAGGAATTGCATTCAAAAATGTATGTACCCGTCCCTCTCCCACTTATTCAAATGTGTGTCTGCAAACCAAGGATACAGAGACTCGGATACAGGATACCTGATCAGAGAAAGTAGAGGGATAAGAAGGTGTCCCTCTCCCACTTATTCACATGTAATTCTGCAAACCCAGGGTACAGAGAATCGGATACAGGATACCAGAGAAAGTGGGCGGATACGTACATGTCCCTCTTACCAGATCAGAGGATATGGACCAAGAGGTAGGCGAGTCTGCACTGGATTTGAGGAAACTCCATATAGATCATTTGCAATATTCCCTCAGTGAATTATGATCAAACAATCATAAATTATTGGGTCTGGAGTAAGCCCGATTATATTGACAACCCCAGCAATAGATATTTAGTTGTCAAGAAAAAAACTAAAATTAATCAATTCATTGAAAGTAAAATGTATTGCAGAATTGTCCGGGGATAGTATTCAGTTTAAATACAACATGAATCGTCGTGTTGAGAGGGGGACGTAATGGTTCCTTTCCTACGATTTTTTATCTAATTTAAAATCATCTGAATATCTCATTTCTTTTCCATAGCGACTCCTAATCACATGCTGTGTCATCGTATCTCATTAAGTCAATCGATATTCAGATATTTTGGATGACAATGTTGTAAGGTTACCTGCGTATGTCAACACCAGTGCAAGTATTATCGTTTGTTGACAGTACTATAGAGCTTGTGGTATTGTTATCAGTGGCAACTGTCTAGAATCCCATGGATAGTTCACAAAAATGTTCGAAGATGACTTTTCATCACATCAAACAATCTTGGTTGATTAAAGAATATTCAGAGGTTTTTGCCACGGCTCATGTCCAGATAGGAGGATGCATGTCCGATGAAGGTCTATATGATTATGTTGCAAGGAACAAAAAATGTGGTTCAAATGATAGATTGTTAGTCAGATCAATTACACCCCATGCTAGGATCCCATGGGATAGATGAAAAGATGGTCACAGTCGTACAGGCATGGACACCAACAAGAGTCATACCACGAGATTAGCATCATATTCAGTGCTTCCAGTGCATCTCATTCTGCAGACAGCGCGCGGGCTGATCCTAAAAGGCACATCTGGTAAATGTTTTAACAAACACAGACCCTCGTGTCTCTGCGAGGATTAAAGATTTTTAAAAATATATATAAATTTGAGACGACCCCCCGACTCGAAATGCTTCACATTACAATTATATATTATGATGTATCGTACTGTGAAACATTTCGAGTCGGGGATCATCTCAAAAACAATACTTATTTAATCTCTAATCCTCGCAAAGACACGAGGGCCTATGGTAACAAACCTCTTGTGAAATTGAATAAAGAGGAAAACTTCTCTGTAAGAATGTTATCCAGAATGTGAGACAGTTTGTTTCAAATCACCATTGGTAATGAAGAGCATACTGTTGAACATTCGCACATGTAGAGATATCATTTCGTTGTGAAAACAAAGTTTGAACTTTAGCTGTTCGGTTTGTTTCACTTTAGTATTTAGTACTTGGATATTGCTTCGGTAGTATGCTATCGGTTATGATATCATGTAACAGGCTGGTAGAAATAACCAGGATTCTGTCAACCAGTGAGCAGTACCACATGGAGTCCCGAAATAGATTCAAAAAGAGTAAAACATGTCTTTGAATATATTTATTTAACAATTTATGGTAAATACATACTATATTCGATACAGCACTATTTGTGTCTCACGTTATTTGTCATTCGTACACATGTTCTAATTTGGTGTACTGCTTACATACACGCTTAATCACACTAAATATAATATTTGACTAGTCCCTGACGGTGCGTTCAATAATCAATAAACATCAGCAGTGTCTCTTCACTGAAGGTCTGTGTTGCCTTGAGGTAGAGTGGAAGGTACATACAAGCCACATATCTGTTTTAATCAAAAGGTGTCGGAGCTCTTGCTGCCAGGTATGCTTTCATTCTCTCGTTAGACCTGACGTTGTGCATGATGGCCTTGACATTGGGATACTTGTCCATGGTGGCGTCGTCTGTTTTGCCGTCAATTGTGTCAAAGATGATGAGATCGCCCAGACCCAGCTGAATCAATAAAACAATCAATCTAGGTGTAAAATAATCAATCTAGGTGTAAAACAATCAATCTAGGTGTAAAATAATCAATGAGGTTGTTGTTTTGAGAGATATCGACCACGAGCAGGATATGTGTAAAATGCAGAATTATATGCAACGAACATAAACGTAAATATAATGTTCATCAACATCATCATCATCATCATCATCATCATCATCATCATCATCATCACCATCACCATCATCATCATCATCATCATCATCAACATCATAACCCTAAGTCGTTGTCAACAAAAACAGACATTCCTGCTGTAAGCTCACCTTATTTCCAACGGTGAAGCCCGTTCCTTTTGAACCCGCTAACTGCTGAAGTTTACCCATGAAATTTGGTATCACCTTTTCTCTAAGACCCTTTTCAAGTTGTGCCTAAAACAAATAAATTATCATCCCTTACAAGAAGCGTTATAACAATACAAGTGTTATGATATAAAAGCACAATCGCGCGTCCGTGAACCCAACGTTATGTGGGTTTAAATTGGTCTTCAGCAACCCATGCATGCTTGTCGTAAGAGGCGACTAACGGGATACAGTGGTCAGGCTCGCTGACTTGGTTGACACATGTCATCGTGTACCAGTCGAGTAGACTGATGCTCGTGCTGTTGATCACTAGACTGTCTGGTCCAGACTCGATTATTAATTTTACAGACCGCCGCCATATAGCTGGAATATTGCTGAGTGCAGCGTAAATCAACAATCAAATAAACAAAGTAGTCCAGCGTTGCTATATTGCTTGGTGGTTCCTGCAGAGTTAGCAATATTGAAACTCTAGCAAGGCGGCCAGTAAAGCTCCAGTGATTGAAGGTATGGGCATATACCATCATGGTAAGATAGATGACGGGCATTCAGCAATAACACACAATTTGAGCATTTGATTTCTCTCATATTTCACTTGTGTGTGCGCACGACGAATGTTGTTTAACAGTTCTAGCCCACTGAGATAACATAACCCAGTTCTACATGGATAGCACTCTAACACATATACGGAGTCTGAGTTACCATTCCTTGTTTTACTCCTTTAAGTCGAGCGCCAAGACATATGCAAACAACAAGAGCGTTACGTTAACGTCATTTAGTATGACGTGGCTAGGGGACCGTATCACCGACCTTCACCGTGCCTGTCAGCTACGTCACAGCGGAGAGCTGTTCTTGGACAGAACACTCGATCTTGGGGATGCTTACCTTCTTGTCGTTGTCCTTCTCGTGGAAGACCTTGATTCTTTCTGAAGAAACGTCATTGCTCAGGCTTATAACTCGGTCTATCTCATACTCTTCCTGGCTGTTTGCTCCCATCAGCCCTGCAAGGATAAGATGCTCCAACCGTTGGTGTCATTTTAGACCTGACGGTATAATCGAGCATGCTATGGCAAAGTTGACTTCAAAGAATGTCAAACGGATGTTCCACAGAAGGCTTCTGGGGGCGGTGGAGTAACCTATCGGTTAAAGAGTTTACTCGTTGCGCCGAAAACCCGGGTTCGAATCCCCACATATGCACAATACAATATGTGAAGCCAATTTTTGTGTTGCCCGCCGTGAAGTTGCTGGAATATCGCTAAAAGTGGTGTAAAAACCTAACTCCATCCGTCAAACGGGTTTGAGCAGGGTTGAAAGGCCTCAGTGCATTTCTCACACGTTTTAATTGAAACAAGTCGAGAACATTTCTAAAATAAAGCATTTGTGACAAACATCATGTTCGAAGCAAGTCCAGATTCAAATACCATCAATCTGTTGTTTTTATTCAGAATTTGCTTATAAGTGATGGGTAAAGGCAGGATACGCCCACGTGTTTGAAGTCACCTGCTACCATCATAAATAAACTCGTGATTCGCAAAAACGACCTTTGGTCTTTTATAGTCTTATATATACAATGGACTCTTCGGGTAGTTGAATTACAGAAAAATAGTATAAGTATATTCGTTTTAATTTTTAATTCCTTTAGTCTCATGACTTAAGTTGAAAACATAATGAAGGTAGCTAGCTGAAAATGTTTCAAATGTTGAAAACTGTTGATATCGCTTTGCGTGAGATGAGAGCACCCGAGAGGAATTCTAAAAGTAGGCGGCGATTTCTTATGATTTCGGAACTGGTGTTGTCGCTTAACTGTTTACATATTGTCTATATATTGTCATTTTATATAATGCCCTGTGTCCTCAGTTAACAATGTACGTTTCAAGAGAACGACTGAGTGGGTTGGGATTAAGACGCTTTTATCAGTAGGTCAATTGTAAATTGTTATTTGCCAGGCCGACAAATGGGTCAATGGACAATGAGTAACAATCAGGTCACACAACGTAACCCATCCTATCCACAGCAGTCGAAATTTAAGACAGGCATGGGGTCTTTGGACCTATCTGCCATAATTCAGGTTGACAAGAACATGCTTTTGCGCATGTTTCGGGTAGCAAATATGAATATGAAGTTCTTGGTGTTTGAAGCAGTGTTTCTCACAGACCCTGAACCATGTTATTTTCGTTTCAACCTGATCATTCTGCAATGCAAAATCCTTGAATAATACAAGTGAAGATTGTCATCAGGTCCTGAATGTTACATCACCGAGGCTCCTTTCAAATTAATTTTGGCTTTTATCAAAATTATATATTTTAGAGACTAAGCGTTAGTCTATATGTCTATGTGTGTTCACCAAATATGAGTTACTTGGGACAAACGGGAGGTTGAGTTTTATGCATAGGAGTGATACATTTAATGTTTACCGAATTCTCTGGCGAGGAATCTGTTTATTGCCATGTATTCTGTGTAGTCCTTTCCGTCGACTGTCAGAACAGGAAGCTGCCCGAAAGGTGTATCTGAAAGACATGCATACTCTTCAAAAACAGTAATGGAAATTCATTCTTACGATTGAAACAAATGGGAGATATATCGTAGTCAATCAATGTTGATATTATAATAATGAATATTTTGAGAGTGCATCACCACTTGCACTTCCTTATGACCATAGTTGTTTGTACAGTAATTGCTCTTGAAAGATGATTGGTGTATGACGTGAAATTTGCATTTGTAGGAATTTCAATTTCAACAAAAATAACGCCTAGAAACAAACACTCACAACTGTGTGATGCAAGATGACTGTCAATTGTTTTTGGGTGGGCTTTACCCTATATAGGGATTGTAACTTCTTGTTTTATTCTCAAAATGAATGGTAAATAGTAGTAGTGAATAGATAAAGAGTAGTAGTGAATAGATAAAGAGTAGTAGTGAATAGATAAAGAGTAGTAGTGAATAGATAAAGAGTAGCAGTCAATAGATAAAGAAGAGTAGTAGTGAATAGATAAAGAGTAGTAGTGAATAGAAAAAGAGTAGTAGTGCTTTCATAAGATGTCTGTCTTTGAACAGTGTGTTAACGCTTATACTTCCTATCCAAGTTAAAATATTCGAAAATTTTACAGTCTTTACTTATTTGGAACTGTTTTTGATAATAATATATGTCACTAATTAAAAACAAACAAACGGTAACGCTGTTTACCGGCAGTGGATATTCAAGACGAAATACCCTTGAATGGACATCGTTAAATACTGACTGACGTAATTATGGTGTTGTTAGCGTTGTTGATGCAGTAAACCAGTACGAAAAAGTTACTATCAGGATCCTATAAATATGCGAATGAAGTCGCCTTGCAGGAACTACTTTCAAGGCCAATATATCAGTGCGATGCCTTTTTTCTCATTGGGCCACAGATTCGTTCCCAGTATGTTTGGATGGGTTGTTTGGTTTATTGTTAAAGGCCGCACTCAGCAATATTCCATCTATATGGCGGCGGTCTCTCTAAATAATCGCGTTGGACCTGACAAGCCAGTGATCAACAGCATGAGTATCGCTTGAATGGGGGTTTCACCCAAACATGGCAACAAGCATATGTTGAGGAATTTGATAGAATCGATGTGATAAAGTGGACAATTCATGAATAAAATAATTCGTAGGTGGTATCATCATTTTAAACAGAATTTACTTGATGTAAATATTATAGTCTTTGTGTTTCCATTTCGTAAATTTACACATATATTCTAATATATGAAAAAATCTATATGATAAAGTGTGATGGTGAATTTGTAAAACTGGGGTTCCTAATATCAGTATGTTACGGTAGATTTGTAACCCTTTGATTCCTAATATCAGTATGTTACGGTAGATTTGTAACCCTTTGATTCCTAATATCAGTATGTTACGGTAGATTTGTAACCCTTTGATTCCTAATATCAGTATGTTACGGTAGATTTGTAACCCTTTGATTCCTAATATCAGTATGTTACGGTGGATATGTAACACTGGAAATCGTAATATCTGAGAATGTTATAATTGAATTGTACCTCTGAGAATCGTAATAACAGTATGTTACCCTGGCTTTGTAATTCTAGGAACTATTTACTAGGTTATAAATCTATGAAAGTAAACTTAAATCTAATGTACACAACGTCAATCATATTGAAATTCACAATAGCTGAGCTCCTGTCTGCCGAAACGATTTAAAGCGCAGCGCTTAACAATAGTGGGACCAGTTTAAGGTCATTAGTTGTCATTCCCAATAAGAGTTACCTCCCATCTTTGTTCAATGAACATACACTCGTCATTATCTCGGGTCATTCCGGGACACGCCAAGTACAAACGCTCACTGCGCTTATCATAGTCTCTAGTACAGACCCTGAAGCAAATATATCCAAGAAAGCCCACACAAGTCTAGAAAATGTGGCAAGTCTAGATTTCCTCAGCTAAAAAGGTCTCAGGGCTCCTTTTCATTATATTTTATATTTTTTTACTATGAACTTTTTTCAGTAAAATATGTTCATTTCAGAGACTAGTTGTTAGTCTACGCTTATCACCAAATACACACATGGGTGGACAACGAAGGTAGCTTACTTGGCTTCTCGGCTGGCCATGTGTCAAACCAGGGATACTCTACAACAGGGATAGGTCACTCGCTTGCTTTCTTTACCATTTGTACTAATTAACGTGTGCCTCGTCATGCTCCAACGCACACAGTGACTTGGTTCGGTCCCAGCGCAACTTCGGCTGCGTTTAACAGTACTTCAGCCAGTGTATTGTATCAGTCGGAATTTTACAATGAATGAATGAATTAATTAAGAGCAAGAATTTTATGTGAATGAATGAAAGAAATTAAGAAAAAGAACAAAAGAAAAAGAACATATGTGAATGAATGAAAGAATAAATGATACACCACGGCCATCCCTCCCCAAACATGTTAAAGAACACAAAACTATCGGTAGAACACATATGTTAACATCAGCTGTCCATTTTCAAAAATAAAATTACTTTGAAACATGTTTTTACATTAGTAACTAATTCAGATATCTTATTGCATGTGTGGAATGACATGGGCATTGACAGAATGTTAACTGACACGGTCACAGACCCCTCAAGAACAGAAAGTTTAGAACTATCACAAAGCGCTGTAAACACCTTTCCAGTTTTGTCAAATACTAAGATCAACAAGAAAGAAAGAAGTTTTAGAACTATAACACTCAAGCATCACAAGCACCAATGGCGATATGTCATATTTTTCACACACCTCAAATACACACTAACAAAAAAAAAAGAAAAAAAGTATCAATGTTACTTGCAAAAACCTTTCACCTGATGGTATATTCCCCTCATAAAAATTTAAGGTGTATGTGAAAGATGTTTAAGAACACTAACTAGAAACACTCAAACAACGCCCTGTAGTATTTCAATGGCAGATCGGCGATATGTCATATTTTTCACACACCTCAAATACACACTAACAATTTTTTTTAAATTATAAAACTATCACTATTACTTGCAAACACCTTTCACGTGATGGTATATTCCCCTCATAAAAATTGAAGGTGTATGTGAAAGATGTTTTTGAACACTAACTAGAAACACTCAAACAACGCCCTGCAGTATTTCAATGGCAGATCGGCGATATGTCATATTTTTCACACACCTCAAATACACACTAACAATTTTTTTTAAATTATAAAACTATTACTATTACTTGCAAACACCTTTCACCTGATGGTATATTCCCCTCATAAAAATTGAAGGTGTATGTGAAAGATGTTTTTGAACACTAACTAGAAACACTCAAACAACGCCCTGTAGTATTTCAATGGCAGATCGGCGATATGTCATATTTTTCACACACCTCAAATACACCCTAACAAAATTTTTTAGTTATAAAACTATCACTATTACTTGCAAACACCTTTCAACTAAAGGTATATTTCCCTTCTAAAAATTAAACGAATATGTGAAAGAAGTTTTAGCGATATAATTTAGTCTTTCTTCGCTGTGTACTGAGAATTGAAGCCAGTGAGCTACAACATGCCCACTTGAAACTTTACTACAAAGCTACTGTACTTATACTGACACTAATAACAATTATTTGACTTGAAATGAAGTGACAGAATAGGTAACTTATCTTCTACATGTAGGTTTTCAGTTGTCACAACACTCAGCGTATGTAATCAGCTGTTGAAAATAAACCGGGCTCAATCTTAAAAACCACGCTGCCGCCATATTGGCTACACTGGTCACGTGACGAGCCGAGGCATAGCTTAGGAGCTTTCCGAGGAGTGACCACTCCCCCTTATAGAGTCTCCCTGGTCAAACGTATATAACTTGTCTTCGAATTCCTGTCCTTTTAATACGAACAGGAGTCGGATTATCTCAGCTCGGAAATGTCTCAGCACATAGACAGGCATTGTAGCAGGTGGTGTTATTTCCAAGTTACTTTGTGGGTTACGCCGGCTAAAATGTAACGGGGCAATTGAACTGAGGCCGGCTGGGTTCTGTTTGTTTAATCTACGCGATGCTGAGTCATGTGGGTCAAGAGCGTCTGGAACGGCTAAAACGGCAACAGGCCAAAACTGCATTGTGACTGATTTGCTAAAACGCCATTGATTAGAGTGATGAGGTGAAATCTGTATCAAGGAACAGCATCAATGCAGGGGCAGATAGAGCTTTTTGAGAAAGGGGGGTGCACAGTTCATTTTCACCCGTTTTCACGAGAGTTTCATTGGTCATTTTATAAACTTTCAGGACAAAAGGGGAGGTGCCTTTACTACAGATCAACATTTTAAATTATAATACAGATCAACACGGATCAACTCACATTTGATATAGATCAACTCACATTTAAAACACAGATCAACTCATATGTAACACAGATAAACTCACATTTAGCACGGATCAACACGGATCAACTCACATTCAACACGGATCAACTCACATTTAGCACGGATCAACATGGACCAACTCATATGTAACACGGATCAACTCACATTCAACACGGATCAACTCACATTCAACACGGATCAACTCACATTTAGCACGGATCAACATGGACCAACTCATATGTAACACGGATCAACTCACATTTAACACAGATATTCTCACATTCAACACGGATCAACTCACATTTAGCACAGATCAACTCACATTTAACACAGATCATCTCACATTTAACACAGATTAACTCACATTTAACACAGATCAACTCACATTTAACACGGATCAATTCACATTTAACACAGATCAACTCAAATTTAACACAGATCAACTCAAATTTAACACAGATCAACACGGATCAACTCACATGCAACACGGATCAATTCACATTTAACACAGATCAACACGTTTCAACTCACTTTTAACATGGATCAACTCACATTCAACACAGATCAACACATATCAACTCACATTTAACACAGATCAACTCACATTCGGCACAGATTAACTCACATTTAACTCGAATCAACTCACATTTAACACGGATCAACACGGATCAACTCATATTCAACACGGATCAACTCACATTTAACACAGATCAACTCACATTTAGCACGGATCAACTCACATTTAACACAGATCATCTCACATTTAACACAGATTAACACGATCAACTCATATTTAACACGGATCAACTCACATTTAACACAGATTATCTCACATTTAACACAGATCAACACGATCAACTCACATTTAACACGGATCAACTCACATCTAACACAGATCAACTCACATTTAACACGGATCAACTCACATTTAGCACAGATCAACTCACATTTAACACGGATCAACACGGATCAACTCACATTTAACACGGATCAACTCACATTTAACACGGATCAACTCACATTTAACACAGATCAACTCACATTTAACACAGATCAACTCACATTTAACACAGATCAACTCACATTTAGCACGGATCAACTCACATTTAGCACAGAACAACTCACATTTGGCACAGATTAACTCACATTCAGCACGGATCAACTCACATTCAACACACATCAACTCACATTTAACACGGATCAACTTACATTAAAAACAGATCAACTCACATTTGGCACAGATTAACTCACTTTTAGCACAGATCAACACGGGTCAACTCACATTTAACACATATCAACACGGATCAACTCACATTCAAAACGGATCAACTCGCATTTAACACAGATCAACTCACATTTGGTACAGATTAACTCACATTTAGCACAGATCAACACGGATCAACTCACATTTAACACAGATCAACACGGATCAAATCACATTCAACACGGATCAACTCACATTCAACACAGATCAACACGGATCAAATCACAAAGACATCAACACAAACTAACTCTGCTTTGTTTCTGGAACGATGCATTTGGCTAATATCCATGTCAGTTGGATTCCTATTCTAGAGAATGGTCTGTTTTAAATGACAACCAGTCTCAAGTCATTAGCAACCTACAAACAACATCGGTAAGGACCGGCACAGTAATCAATACCACACTGGCGCACAGACAATATGTAGACAGCGGGTCTGTATCGTATATATACCGTGTTTTATGGTGGCTAAATATGCATCCCATGGTGGTGTATTTATCGTAGTGCTGGCTTGGGCTGTAGAGTTTTCAACTTATGTAAATCTCGACAATGTTTGTAATATTTCAGTCAAATCCAGTTTTCAAGCGCATATTTTCTTCTCTCCAGAAGTTCGATCAGTGCATTGTTAGATGCTCCAGTAATTATCTCCCTTTTCACCCACTGACCCACATATGTAAATGGTCGGCTTGTTTGTTGTTTGACGCCGCACTCAGCAATATTCCAGCTATATGGCGGCGGTCTGCAAATAATCGATATCGTGAGCATCGATCCACGCAATTGGGATACGATGACATGTGTCAACCAAGTCAGGGAGCCTGACCACCCGATCCCGTTAGTCGCCTCTTAAGACAAGCATGGGTTACTGAAGATAAATTCTAAGCCTGATCTTCCCGGCTTTCTATGAAAGAGTGTGCGAGATTTTTTTCAATCCAAGTTGAAAGCTGAATACTGCTGCGTCATGGTACCTGAATCCAGGCACAGCAATCAATGATTAGCTGACTCAGCAGTTTCTGTATCGATCCGTTCTTCACGAACAACAGATGGTGCTTGCCTATACGACGGATAGCCTCTTGAAAATCAGATCAATAACGGAGACTTGTAGTTCGTAGGCTGCAACTGCCATGATGAAGGTTTGCACGTTGAGCTAGCCACGTGTAATGTCCTACAGCTGAAACGTGTGTAATTAAGTACTGAAATGGATGATGTTCTTATCTCAACGTTTCAGACCTTTTCCCGGCTTGCAGGAATGCATGATTAGGCCATATTATATAAAAATATTCCTGTTTCTCATTACCGCCCCTCCCAAAAATTCGTCCCGACCCTAACATTTTTTATACATTTTACACTAGAGAAAATGCAACTCTCAAAATGTGCATGAATTTTTCACTCTTCTAAGTTTTGATTTTCTGTCGGAGAAAAGGTGTAAATTTCCACAAAAATCAAGGAGTTTTGGACATAAAATCAAATGTAAAAATAAAATCCGCCCGCCTGACCCATTTTTTAAACAAAAAGTGATGAGAAACAAAAGTATTATTTTATGTGGCCTTACACATGACAAACAACAGGAATCACAAGTGAATAGTGTAATCCCTGACATTCCATAGCCGCGTGGTTCGTGGCCATGTTAAACACTGATGGCCGTAGGAACAGTGTTGTAGGTTAACTGGTATGTCAATCACATGCTTGCTCTCGCATAAGTGGGGACCGGGTGACGAGTCGACTGAGATGTTTTAATTGGTGGTGTGGGCCTGCGTTGCTGGGGTGTGTCCCAGTCATTTCGAACGTCACAAGCGTCAATACCCGTGGCAGAGGGTTGAATTCATCCAAGATTAACCCTTTCCATTCCCTTTCTTAGTTCAACCTGTATTAGTGGGTTTCACCGGGTGGTAAAGGTCTAAGACTTGCCTTACTTCGGGATTTCCTCCCCAATTAAGCTGACACACCGTGATATAACTAGAATACTGTTCAAAGCGGTGCTAGATCAAACTAATCACTCACTCACTCACTGGCACAAACACACACAAAACTTAATTAAGCACCCCCTGTATTTTTGCAGTGAAAGGTTTCTACCACGTACAAAAACTTCTCGTGGTGAGCACAATGGAAAAACATGAGTCATTCTGACCCTATGATCCTTTGACTCATGAAAAACGACACAGTGATTGGATGGACTCCATGTTGATTTTATTATGATAGAATGTCATTTTGCGTGTCTTACACGATTCAAGGTCAAGGTGTAGCCTCCATGTGACTGAATGACAGCCAGCACTCTCCTCCTCATACCCTATGTCAGCCTCCTGATCCTCTGAAGGGCGAGTCTATACCATTCCTTGTGTAAATTGGGCCAGGTTCTGTACAGGATGATCCCTTTGTTGCACACGACGACTAATCATGTCCCAGATATGCTCCAAAGGGTTAAGATCGGGGTTCATTCAGTCGTGAGATATATCAGGGGATGCTTAACTAAGTTCTTTGTGTATATATGTGAGCTCGTATGTGCAGTTTGAAAACGTTTACATTCAGTTCATTTGTTATGCTAAGCTACTCAACAATATTCCAAACCGCGTCAATCTGTCAAGTTGTATATCTGCTGTTTGGAAATGTCATACTATTGAAGATATTGCTATTGAACGATGTATGTCATGATCAGTAGACATTGGTGTTCGTACATTTGTTTGAATCGTTCCAGTCTTTTCAAAGCACGTACGGGGAGGTGGGGTAGCCTAGTGGTTAAAGCGTTCGCTCGTCACGCCGAAGACCCGGGTTCGATTCCCCACATGGGTACAATGTGTGAAGCCCATTTCTGGTGGCCGCCGCCGTGATATTGCTGGAATATTGCTAAAAGCGGAGTAAAAACTGACTCACTCTTTAATCAATATGTCCATAATCATACCATTTGTTTATGCAATAATGACTGAACGTTGCATTGGTGAAATTGATATTGGCAATTGTACGCCTTGTTTAAGCACCGATAAAACTTCCTCCAAGCGCAAGTCTCATGGCTACGTAAAGCCTTCCAAAATCCGATAGACATGCCCTTGAGGTGTGGAGTTACTACTGCGCTCTACAAATGTCCATATTATTATTATTATTATATCGAAACATCGAAAGCGGAGCGTGAGAAAGATCTATTTACATTTTACCCTGTCTATCAGTTGCAAAGAGTCCATATATGGCCTCCTCTTTAGCGGTGTTGAGACTCGTTTATTGTTTGTCAGTAATGCTTGACCTCAATATACGTACTTATAGTTAAGCACAGCAGTGCTATGTTTACATTTCACAGTATGTTTCCCGGTCTTCGTACGCGTGTTGACTGAGAAGCTCTATTACTATTCTTCATGACACTTGCACTTTAAGGAATGTCACCTTGAGTGAGTGAGTGAGTTTAGTTTTACGCCGCACACAGCAATATTCCAGCTATATGGCGGCGGCAATTGTAA